TATCATGGTACAGGGAGTGTGACGACACCACAGGAATGATGCGGGCAGCTGGGGGGAGGGGGAGAGTGACAATGATGAAGGTGATTGGATGAGGGTGAGGGTGACATGGTTAATAAGAATATTAGCCCAAATCACCCCCAGCTCAAGCTGGGCATATCACAAGAATAAACTCGCAGAATCCTCACAATCATCCGTGATGTAGGCGTCCTTGTGTGCATTTTACAGATGAAGAGGTTGAGATTGCAGAGGTGTGATCAGGTGACCAAGGCTACCTGGAGGTTTAGTGGTGGAGCCGGGATTCTGGCACACCCCGGGGGAATGGGTCTAGTACCCCGTATGGTGGGCTACTATGAGAGAGGTGAGGCGGGGAAATGACGGAGACATGGAGGGACAAAAAACGACTGTAAGGCAGGGTGGCTCTTTATGAGGAAAACTAGCAGCATGACACGTGAATGGTGACTGTCCAAGGAGCAAAGATGACATGGGAGGGACGGAGACATAAGGGGTGAGGATGACATAAGGCAAGCGTGAGCACGATTTAAGGAGATGGTGACTGGAGGTGTGCGAAGGTGACACGGGGGTATGATGACAATTTATAATAAGTGAGGATTTCACAAAGGAGAAATAGCGACAAAAGAGGAGTGCAGGCGACATAAAAAGGCGACGGCGACTTAAAGGAGGGCAACTGCGACATACAGTGTCAATGGGGGCTTAAAGGGAACGAAAGCGAGTTAAGGGGGTTAATGGCAACACAAAGAGGGTGATGGCGACAGACTGGGAGTGGTGACGATTTAAGCGGGATGCGACATAAGGGGAAGAATGGCGACATAAAGGACAGAAGACGACATAAGAGGAGAGTTGCAGTAGAGACGGAAGGACAACACGAGGCGGGCCGAGGCACACATCGCACAGTACCTGCACTCCACGTCTCCCACGCCGGGACCCAGCCCCACACGCACCTTTCAGGCTGGAGCCCGGCCGCACCACCCCCGCCGCGCGCAAGCGCACTCCGCTGGGACTGCGGGCCGGCGGGGGCCGGGCATGTGCCTTTCTCATTGGCCGCGCTCCTCGCTAGCGCGGGGCGGAGCGAAGCGCCTGCGCGAGTGGGGGCGGTCACGTGACGGCGGGGGCCGCGCTCTCGCTGGTGGCAGTCTGGCGGGCTAGAGCGGCCGCGGGTCAGCCCGGCTTCCGGCGGCGAGGGCGGTGCTTCCGGGGCGGGCCGCCCGGCCGAGGGAGGAGGGTCTGACAGTTGGCGCCGCCGGCAGGGCGGGCGGCGCGAGTGGGCGCGGGCCCGGCTGGGCAGGTGAGGCGCGGGCCGGGGGTGGTGGGCCTGGACCGGATGCGGTGGGGATGGATGGTGTCCGGGGCTCGGGAGTCATTCCCGGCGCCGTTATGCGGCCTGGGACAGACGACTTCTTTCTCTGAACCTCAGTTTCCTCCTCTGGAGAATGGGGGTCACAATCTGACTGTAGCATCCTCCTTGTGGGTTGGAGTAGAAGTTAGCTCGTGCATGTCGGAGCCCCTGACTTAGCGCCTGCACACTGCTCACTTCGTTACCACACTATTATTGTTAGTATCGATGATGCTGTTTGCGCTTGGCGTGGAAGATGTGGGTTGGGAGCGTAAAATTGGAGGCCGACAGATTGCGGTTCGAATCCTAGCTCCACTTTGTGGCAGGGGGCCTTTGCCTTCACCCCTTGAACCTCATTTTCCTCATCTATACAATGAGAGCTAATAGTCCCAATATCAAAGGGTTGTTGTGAGGATGCTGATAAAATATGCGTGCAAAGCCCTTGGCACAAGGCCTGGCACAGTACTAAGCAGGAACTCAATAGATTGGAACTATAATAATAATGATTCTGAGAGGCATTAGTGTAGCTGGGACTTCCAAGGAAGTAGAGGAAGGAGGAAGCTCAGAGACAACAAGAGGAAAAGCTTGGAGTCTGGAGCTGGGCAAATCGACATCCTGCCACTCACTATTTGGCTAATTTTGCCAAATCCCATAGTATTAGATTTCTCTTTTTCTTTGAAACCACTGATACATTTTCCTCCAGTCCATTGATTTGAGAAGGAAAATTTGTATTGTTGTCCTCATGGAAAACTAGCGTTGCTGGCTGTGAGAAGAAGGAGACCTTACCCTGAAATACAATGGAAGCAGAACAGTCTATTAAACTGTAGACAGAAACTGAAAGAGAATTGGAAAAGGAATAACTTGTGTTGTGTGATTCTGTGTTGTCAGATCCCGTGGACCCTGTCAAGTTATCTTATACTCTGTTCTCAGCTCACACTTTGCATATGACTGGCATTAGGTCAGTGACTGTCCTGTCCTTCCCTTAGCTCACTGAAGATTTATTTATTTTATTTAATGCACACGTACATAGCGCTTATCACCTGCCGAGCATTGTTCTGAGGGCTTGGCATTTATGAACTCATTTAACCCCTCTAACTGCTTTAGGAATAGATACTCCTGTCATTCTTATTTTATAGTTGAGGGGAGTGAGATCCAGAAAGATTAAGCCACTCGCCCCAGAGTCAGGGTTAGGAAGTGATAAAATCGAGATTTGGATTCAAGCCTTCTAAGGGCTTAGCACAGGAAGTCCGGTACGTGGTAATTACTTGAGTTTTGGGAGCTGTCATTTTTCTATTATTATTAATGTTATAATTTTCACTGTTCAGAAAGTCCACACTGGAGATGGGCTTTTAACGGTGGAGAGAGCAATTTGAGTCCAGCAGGGCATTCTGCAGCTGTAGGAGGGGATACCAGTATTGGAAGGCTCTTAAGCATTAACTGAAACTTTGCAAAGACAGACCACAGTGCCTGGCTTGTAGTAATCCCCCGAGCAGCGTGAATCATAGCCACTGGGCTGACTTGGGTTCACGTCCTGGCCCTGCAGTTCCTTCCTGTGTGACCTGGGACCTGCCACTCTCATCCATAATGTTGGGAGAATTTTTACCTTTCTCCCCAGGTAGTTGTGAGAAGTCACTGAGATGCATGTGTACTCAGTGCCCACTGAGTATGTAACATTCGACAGGAGCTGCTGCACGGGCATTGGAATCAGGGAGAACTTGTTTTTGAATCCCGGTAAAGCCACTTGCTAGATGTGGCATTTGGCAAATGACTGCACCTGGATAAGTCGGTTTTTTCATCGATTAAAATGGAGTTAATAATAGTCCTCACTCATGAGGAGGCTGTGAGGCATGAGCATGATGTCCAGCTCTGGTCCTGGTGCATAGTTAGTGCTTGGGGTGTGAGATGTTCTGTCTGACTTATTGAAGCCTCTCCATGTCCTGCTCTTTGACAGATGCTGGTTGTGTTGTCTTTGTCCAGCAGTAAAATCCAGAAGGGAAAGTGGATCTTAGGGAGTTAAGACATCACTTAAGAGTGATGTCTGTGGTCCTGTTCGTCAGTAAGAGATGCAGCTGAAGCCAGAGAAGGGCAGGATGAACCTTAGCTGGAGACAGAGAAGAGAGTCTCACATGTGGATGAGACTTCTCAAAGCTTCACAAAGCAGGTGGCAGCCAAGCAGAGTGAAGGAGAGCTTGCTGGAAGGACAGGAGGAGATAAGCCTTCCAGGCACAGGTGACATTCTGTGTGAAAACCGGGAGGCGGGCAAAGCACCTGGGTGTTAGAGGGAAGGCTGGGGCATGAGGCCTGGCGGGTAAGAATAGCCCACACTTCTAGAAAACCTAGTATGCACCAGGCACTGTCTCAAGTGCTTTGTACATAGAAACTCATCTAGCTCTCCCATGGTCCTCTGAGGTAGGTAACCTTTGTACCATCCCAATTTACAGATGGGGACACTGAGGCCTTACTGGTGAAGCAGCTTGCCAAGGCCACATAGCTAGTAAGTGGTAGAGCCAGACTTGAACCCTGCAGTCTTGTTCTAGTCTTTACTCTTACATCAGCCCTGTTATACCATCAAAATGGGTGAGGAGGGGCGTGTGTGATGGTGTGTGATGGTGAACAGATGGGTGCTGGACAGAGCCCTCTGCACTTTGTAGAGGAGGTGGAGGAGGGATAAGGGAGAAGGATCAGAATCGGCGATGGGTAGAAGGGAGCAGAGTGAAGGAGGAGGTGGAGGAGGAGGGTTAAGTGAGAAGTTTGGGCCAGGGCAGTGAGCCAGGTGGTCCTGGAGTCAGATGGCATTGAATCATCAGTCAAGAAAGTGATTTCCTTTAGTTCCCTTTCAACACTGCTGTTAATGTCCAGGAGAAAGTCTCCGTGGGTGCTAATATGTCTTTAATGCCTTTCTAGCATCCGCTAATCTCTAAGCGAAAATTGCTTTTCCGTTTCTTCTCTGAGGCCCCTCATGACCTGGTGCCTCTCTGTCCCCGGCTCCTCTCACGCTCTCTCCTCACTCCCTCCACTGCAGTGACGCCGGCTCCTCGCTGTGCCTCAGACATGGCAGATGGGCTCCTGGCTCAGGGCACTGGACTTGTGGTACTTTCTTCTGGAACACTCTTCCTCTGTAAAACCGCGTGGCTCACTCCTCCCCCTCCTTCGGGTCTCTAAATGTCACTTTAAGAGGTATTCCCTGAGTACCCTGTTTAGAATTGCAGCCTCTCCCTTTGCAGGTCCACTGTGTTTTCTCCATGACGCTGAAGGCTTTCCCACGCACCATATCTTTTACTCTCGTCTCCCCCTTTCCTTTGTCCTCACCTAAATGCCAAGCTCCGTGTTTTTGTCACCTCAGTATCCCCAGCTCCTAGAACAGTGCCTCGCATACAGCAGGTTCTCAGGAAATAGTTTTTGAATGGATAAATGAACGGGTATTTATGGTTAAAGCTTGGGTAGGGGGTGTCTTTTTTAGTCCCTTTCCTATTCCAGCCAGACCTTTGGAGGTGTGTGAGAATGGAGCTGTGGATATTTGCTGTCCCTGGGCCCTGTCCCAGGCAGAAGTGACAGTTGCGATGGCAGCTCTGTCCCAGGCTGACTTCCTGCCAGCTGCTCCAGGCTATTCCTGGGCTGTGAGCCCCCAGCCGGGGAACTCTTCTCTGGCAGGCAGACAGACGGGCAGCGAGAAAGGGACAGACACTCACAGCCGGCCGGGACTCATGGGCTCTCTCCCCTTGTTCTCTCTTCCAGGCTCCAGGGAGCAGCATCAGGGCCAGGGAGACAATGGTCTCGGTGACTATGGGTGAGTCTGTGGCCTTCTCTCCGGGGCCCCCTCTCCCCACTGCCCTTTTTGAGGTATGACCTTGGTGGGGGGAGCCGGGGTGGGGGGAGGGAGGGCCAGGTCACTGGCAGGAACAGCTGTACTCTGAGGACATGGAGGCAGGGCCAGGGCCTGCTCAAGGCCTGCCCGCCTCCTCTCTGTGACTTGTCCTCCTGACAGCGTGGTCTAGCCATACAGAACTTGGGTTATGGAGTCCAGCAGATCTCCCACGTGGCCCCTCACCTGTAAAATGGAGATGCTGACACTCCCTACGTCCTGAGATGATGTAAGGATTAAGGAGGTTATTGGGTGTGAAATCCTGGGCATAGGTCTCAACAATGTTAGCTATTATTATTCTCATAAGCCTTATCACCGTGTTCTCTTTAAGCGCTGTATTTGGGGATTGCCACAGCACAGAGATTAGCTGGTAGTATTTAAATTTTTTGAGATTTGTACATATAGAAAACTACATAAGACATATCCGTGTGGTTCTTAAAACGTTTTTATTGAACTACAATGTACACGCACAAAAATATACACAAGTCGATACATTTTCATAAACCAACACGCCCATGTAAGCAGCACCCAGATCAAGAAATACATTTCCAACATCCCAGCAGCCCCCACCTCGTATCCCCTTTGTCACTTCTCCCTGCCTCCCCAGGGCAGCCACCACCTTCTGAGAGCACAGGTTGGGTTTGCCTGTTTCTGTGTTGTATGTCAATGGAATCGTAAAGGATGTCCCTAGCTATTGTCCGCTGTATAGTATTTACCGTGTGAGTGACCACCATTTGTTTATCGATGCTACTGTCAGTGCATCTTGCGTTGTTTCTGGGTCGGGACTATTCACAAACAAGCCGCTGTGAATATTCTAGTGCGTCTCCTGGTGTGTACAGCAAACCACACCTCACTGAGTCCAAGATACATTGTTGCCCATGTTCACATTTCTGCAGTGGGGGGCGTCTCACAGCTGGTGCCTCCTTAGTAGGACACGAAATGATGGGGAGGACCGGATGTGGGGACTTTGCAGTTCCTTGACTTTGCTTTAGGCAGCTAGCTACCTCCAGTCTGTGTGGCGCTTTTTTCCCCTTTATAACAGCTTAATTGAGACGCAATTCACATTTCATACAATTCACCTATTTAAAGTGTATGATTCAATGGTTTTTATATTCTGTGTTCACGGAGTTATGCAACCATCACCACAGTCAATTTCAAAACGTATTCATCACTCTCCTGAAAACCCCATACCGATTAGCAGTCCCTCGCCTTCCCCCCAGCCCCTGGCAGCCACTGCCTACTTTCTGTCTCTATAGCTCTCTGTAGACTGACCTGTCCTGGACATTTCCTGTGGATGGGATCGTCATGTGGTGCTTTTTGATACTTAGACAAAGGTGCCCACTTTTGGCTAATGGCACCCAGGGCCCCGTGGCTTGGCAGGTGGGTAGGGCCTGTGCACAGTAGAGAAAGGCCTCCCGTTCCTCTGGGCCGGTGGAGGAAGTCTGAGGGCATGGGCCCTCACCTGCCTCAGTCCTGGGGAGACAGGCCTGTGGCCGGGGAGCAGGGGCCTCCTGGGAAGAGGTGTGGCCCCTGGGCCTGTGCCCCTGCCCTGCACTTCCACCCACACAACATCTGACCCAGGGTGTGTCTCTTTCCCCGCTCTGAGCTTCAGTTGTCTCATAAGCAACGTGGGCATAGTAATACCAGATTTCTTCTAAACTAAAGTAGTGTAGGGGCCGGCCTGGTGGCTCAGCGGTTAAGTGTGCATGCTCCGCTTCGGTGGCCCAGGGTTCGCAGGTTCGGATCCCGAGCGCGCACCGATGCACCGCTTGTCAAGCCATGCCATGGTGGCGTCCCATATAAAGTATAAAGTAGAGGAAGACAGGCACGGACGTTAGCCCAGGGCCAGTCTTCCTCAGCAAAAAAAAAAAAAAAAAAAGGAGGATTGGCATTGGATGTTAGCTCAGGGCTGATCTTCCTCACAAAAATAAATAAAGTAATGTAGATTGTTGGATGTACTGTTAGGTACCATGAGAAAGAAAAAAATAATGTTGCCAATTAAACTGGCACATCATTGAGGTGAGGTAGATGCTAGTTTCAGAGCTATTAAAACGTGAAAAAACGTTCTGCTTGGAATTAATGATCTTATCTAACACCCGGCCTGACAAGTCAGGGTCAGTTTGAAGGTCACATCGAAGAGGCTGACAAGTTTAGAAACAGTAAAGCTTCATGGGCGGTGTCTGCCTGGTCTTGGCCTTGGCTCCATGTGTAGTGGTGGCAGAATAATAACGATGATGATGGTGGTGGTGGTGGCTGCAGTGGGTTGAGGATGTCCTCTGGGCTGGGCGTCATTTAAAGCCCTCTGTATGGACTTTCTCACTGAGTCAGCTCAGTGACCCCAGGACATTGGTGCTCTTATCACTAGAGTGTCAGCTCCATGAGGGAAGGGATGTTGTCTTGTGCCTGTGGTCTCCCCAGTGCCTAGAACAGGACCAGGTCTGTGCCTGGTTCTCCGTGAATACTTGTTGAACATATTATCCTAAATTTAGAGAAGAGGAAACTGAGGCACCGAGCATTAACTCGCCCAGAGTCCCTCAGCCGGGAAATGGGAGAGCCAGGATTTGAACCCAAGCTCCAAAGCCTGTACTCGTAACCTCTGTGCCTCTCTGAGGCAGGGCTGCTCCTGTGGCAGGGAGGGGGCTTGCTGATGCTCATGGGCTGGATCTGTGACCCATCTTTCCATCCACCTGTGGATCCTGTCACCCACTGGAGCTGGGCCCGCTGATGGGGACCGGGGCGGAGAACCAGAGCCCCGGCTCCCCCACATCAGTCACTGGCCAAGCGTGATGGCTGCGGGTCACGTTCCAGGGCGGGGCAGAGCTGTAAGGAGAAGGGCGGTATGGAGCCCTGCTGCTTGTTAGCAGTGTGGGGGAGTCGTCATGTCTGACCTCACAGGGGGTCGGGCGGGCTTAGTTCCATCATACGTGCAAAGCACCCCGCCAGGGCCTGGCATGTGATGGGCGTTTAATTTGTGGGAGCCACTGCGTTTGTGGTTTTGCTGCTGTTCTCTAAAGAGAGGAATGTGAGTGATGGGCCCTGTCCACCCCCCAGCCACTTCCGAGTGGATCCAGTTCTTTAAGGAAGCCGGCATTCCTCCGGGACCTGCGGTCAATTACGCCGTGATGTTTGTGGATAACAGGTAAGCTGGCCGAGGGCACAGAGCTGAACTGGGGGAGAGGAGGGGAGAGGTGGGGGAGACAGGGAGCTGGCTGGCCCACCCCCCCAGGCCCATTTGTGGCCTCACTGCTGACCCTCCCCTGTAGGATCCAGAAGAGCATGCTGCTGGATCTCAACAAGGAAATCATGAATGAGCTGGGCGTGACTGTGGTGGGCGACATCATTGCCATCCTCAAGCACGCCAAGGTGGTGCACCGCCAGGTGGGTGCTCTGCCCGACCCCTCTGTCCCTGGGTTTAGGGTGGGGGTGGAGGGGCAGTGGCAGGGCGAACAGGAGGTTCGGAAGCAAAGGCAGGCAGACCTGGGTTCCGAGGCTGCTTCCACCATTTGCTGTGTGACATTGGGCACGTTGCCTAACTTCTCTGAGCCTTCCTTTCTCCATCTGTAGAATGCAGACAGGCAAACCTATTTTGCAGGGTGTTGTAAGTATTGAGTTATACAAAGCCCTAGTACAGTGTAAACTGCCCTTAGTAGGGCCTCAGTAAAGGCCCTCTGTAATTATTATTATCACTAGTTCTCGTCTTCCTCATGATAATTATCATTACCAGGACTCTTCTCTGTCCCCAGGATGGGAGCTCCCTATGTGGGTCCCAGTTGGTGACTTAGCAGACAACATGGCTGTTCCATTCTTGGCCTCTCTGCTTACAGTGACCTTAGACTAGTGATGTCACCTCCCTGAGCCTCTCTGAAGCAGGCTTTTCACACACCCCTGCTGCGCAGGGTTGCTGTGGCCGTCTCCCAGATGGTGTACGTGGTGCCCCGTGCCAGGACCGGAGTGAAGTGCTTGTTGAGTTATGGTAGCTAACGCTTAGCAGGCGCTTGCCATGGCCTGCCGGGCCCTCTCTCCATCCTTCATACATATGACCCATTTACTCCTCACTCCACTTGACCAGAAAGGAAACTTGTTCTAGAGCTGCGCTCTCAAGCACTCCACTTCACCAGATGGTGGCTGCTGGGGTTCTTCTCGTCACTTTTAGTAGTGTCCTCCATCCCAGGGACAGGCCTTCATCTGTCCATCATCCAGGACAGGACCCACAGTGGGGGCTTTCTCAAGCCTGGGACGTTATCTGAGTTATCACAGAGAAGGTCACTGAGCAAAACTTTTTTTTTCTTTAAACTTAAATTTGGGAACAATTTTAGATTTATGGAAAAGTTCCAACACTGGTATAGAAAGTTTCCATATCTCCTTCATCCAGCTTCCCCTAATGTTAACATCTTATGTAACCAGGGTACATTTGTTGAAACAGAAATGAATATTAGTATGCTTCCATTAACGAAATTACAGGCTATTGGGATTTCATCAGTTTTTCCACTGATGTCTTTTTTTTGTTCTAGAGTACCACATTCCATTTACTTATCGTGTCTCCTTAGTCTCTTTTTATTTGTGACAGTTTCATAGTCTTCTGAGGTTTTTGATGACCTTGGCAGTCCTGAAGAGTACTGGTCAGGTGTTTTGTAGAATGCCCCTCAGTTTGGGTTTGTCTGATGCTTTCTCATGGCTAGGAGACAAATATTTTGAAATCTCCTCTTGCAGCTCATGTTCTGATCCCCCTGGTGTTGCTCAGGTCTCTGGGTCTCCGATTCCCCCACTTCATGCTCTTGTCCCCATGGTAACCCAGGTGTCTATTTTTTTACAGGACATGTGCAAAGCCGCCACTGAGTCTGTGCCCTGCAGCCCCAGCCCCATCCCAGGCGAGGTTCGCCGAGGCCCCTGTAGCGGTGAGTCCCATCAGTTCGGGCCTCCTTTCCTTTGTTCTTATACTCCGGCAGTGAGAGGGACATGCCTAGAGTTGGCAGAGCTGGGAGCAAAGCCGTCTGAGGCCCTCTTCTCTTAGGGACAAATAAACTGGGTAGTGAGGGGCTGTATATATATCAGTTCTCATTCTGGGAGTTCTGTTCTTTAAAGGCGCTGCGAACACTGAATTAGCCGACACTGAGCCGTTGCTCCCAAGGGAGCTACAGGGCTAGGTTCCTGCAGGCCTCTGGTCACAACATTTTTGTCCACTGATCAATATAGGACCTTATTTTATGTGTGTTTTTTTTTTCTTTTTTTTTTTTTTTTGTGAGGAAGATCAGCCCTGAGCTAATATCCGATGCCAATCCTCCTCTTTTTGCTGAGGAAGGTTGGCCCTGGGCTAATGTCCGTGCCCATCTTCCTCTACTTTATATGGGACACTGCCACAGCATGGCCTGACAAGTGGTGCGTCAGTGTGCGCCTAGGATCCAAACCTGCGAACCCTGGGCCACCGAGGTGGAGCGCGCGAACTTAACCGCTACAGCACTGGGCCAGCCCCTGTGTGTGTCTGTTTAAAGACACCTCATTTAACATATATTGTTGCTTCACTCACACTGAGCTCACGGCCAATAGCACGATAACTCACACCTGAACAAAGCTGATCTAACACGTGTTTTCTCTTTGAGGCACACCACAGCCTTCTTGAGCTTAGGGACGCTAGATAGCACTTCGCCACTGTGCTTGGGAGCCATTTTAAACAGCAAAAGCACGAGCAAAAAGCACAAAAATGTGAAAGACGTGGCACCAAATAGACGTGAAAAGGACCCTTGTTTACTGTATGAGGGCTGCAACCAGAAGGCAGGGTGGTGCCTTAGTTGACCCTGGTTGGGGCACGTGTGTTGGGCGACTCAAGTTTTTGCCGTTGTGTGCATATCTGTGAATGACCGTGAAAGCACCCCAAGTGTTGGTTTTGGGGTTACAAGTAAATTTTAGTGAATGGGCAAATTTGCAAATATGGAATCTGTGAATGGTGAAAATCGATTGTATTTATACTTTTATTTTTTCAGCAGTATGATGCCTTAAAAAAACAATAATAAACTTAAAAAATTTAACATGCATACAAGTTAGTCTTTGCTGCTCAACAAGCCATTCCCAAACTGGTTTAAAACAGAGACTTTTATTTCTCCTGATTTTATGGCTTGGCTGGTCAGCTCTGTTCTGGGCCAGCCCAGCTGATCTCAGTGGTCACCTGGCAGCTTGGCTGAGGCTGGCAGATCTAGGATGGCCTGACTGGCACATCTGATGGTTGGCGTGATGTTATCTGGGCCAAAAGGGACAACTTGGCCACATGTATCCCATTATCCAGCAGGCTAGCCCAGGCTCGTCCACACAGTGGTGGTTGCAGGGTTTCCAGAAGCAGCCCGAGAGGGCAGGCCCCAATGCGCAAAGCACCTCTTAAGCCTCTGCTTGTATAACATTTGCTCTTATCCCACTGGCCACAGCCAGTCACGTGGAACAGTCAGTGTGGGCGGGACCCACTCTAGAGCCTGGAGGCGGGGAGGCTGAACAAATTGGGGTTCCTTTCTGCATCAGTCTCCTACAACTTACATACAGAAAAGGAGTCAGATCATAAAAGTACAGCCGAGTGACTTTCACAAGGGAACACCCGTGTAGCCAGCACCATCCAAACCCAGAAACAAACATGACCAGCGTCACTGCCCCCCAAGGGTACCCACTACCCTGATTTCTAACAGTGTAGATTAGTTTGGCCAGTCTTTCAAGTCTATATCAACGAGATCAGATAGTATGTACTTTTCATACTGTTCTGAATGTCTTTAATAGTTTAAAATGTCTAAAAAATTAAAACAAACAACCCTAGTGGAGAAAGTCAGCAATTAAGAAGAGAATGGGAAACGGGAGGAAGGAAACGGGGTTGGGGCGGGGAGACTGTCCAAAACAGCATTCCTGAGGTGGCCGGCGGTATACACTTTATAAAACTGAATATGTGTGTCCGTGTCGGGGAAGAAGAGCGGTTCTTCGAAGCCTGACATCCTGACTGCAGCTCAGATTCAGGAGAGCACAGGCAGGGTTGTTTTCCCTCCACCCAAGTGGCGCTCACCTGCCGTGGTAAAGCAGCCTGTCCCTGGTTCCGTTTGAGCACGACAGCGCCTGCTGTGTACTCTGCAAGAGGAGGGCCCTCTCCGCTGCGCACCTTTGACAGCAGGACGGCCCCATCGTATGCGCTCGGCCATCAGAGAGCGTTGTGAATGGAGGCTTTCCCCACGAGAGTCTACACGGCCCGGCCAGGTCATTTACAGCCACTCGTCATGAAGCCGCCCTGCCCAGCTTGAGAACTGCCTGAAGAAATGTCCTGGGAAAATTGTGGAAGGGTATATAGCAAATTGTTACCAGGGAGTGAGCAGGGCTGAAAACCCACCCTGTCTTCCCGGGGGAAGTAGGAGGTCTGGTTGGGAGGGGCCTGGCTGGGCTTCTGGGTGCTGGCCATGCCTGGTGCCTGACCTGGGTGGTGGTCAGCGAGCTCACCTGTTGTTAAGTGGTCTGTGTAGATTTTATGTATTTTTCTGTACGCTGTAGTTATAATTTTTAAAAAAGGCAATATGTAATTATAATAATGTGTTGAGGGTCGTTATGGGGACTTCAGGAGGTTTTGAGAGAAATCATGTAGCAGGAAAAGAAAAGACTTTTTGGGGGTAGGTAGGACAAAATATCAAACCTGAAAGCCATTGGAGGGGGGTACCTGGCCTGTCCAGCAAGCAATGGTAGCATGAAGATTTCCCCCTTTCCTCCCCACAGGGCCTCCCCTAGAGCTCTGTTTTGTTTTTTTTTTTGTGAGAAAGATCAGCCCTGAGCTAACATCTGATGCCAATCCTCCTCTTTTTTGCTGAGGAAGACTGGCCCTGAGCTAACATCTGTGCCAGTCTTCCTCTATTTTGTATGTGGGTTGCCGCCACAGTATGGCTGCCAATGAGTGGGGAACTGAACCCAGGCCGCCGAAGCAGAGCGTGCCCAACTTAACCATTAGGCCATGGGGCTGGCCCCCCAAGAGCCTTTGAAAGCTGTGTCCTAAGGCTAGCAGCAGCTGCACCTTGAGACAAGACCCATCTCCTTCCCACACTGGGGTTGGCCCTCCAGGCTGCGTGCTGTAGCTCCCACCTCGCACCCTGGGACAGCCCTCCTCCTGCTCCACAGAAGACGGGCCCCCAGAGACTGCCCCCCCTCCCCAGAGAAGGCCACCGATTTCCTCGCCCCAGCCCAACTGGAGCCAGACCCACATTGCCCAGGGGCCTGGGTGAGTGAGCCCCTCCCTGAGACCCAGTTCCTCATCTGTAAAATTGGTTTGCAGTAGATCCTGTCTAGTAGGGATGGTGGGAGGTTTGGTGACAGTGTTCATCTTTTCAGTAGGTGTTTGTTGAGGACCTATGAAGTGTCAGAAACCGTTGTAGGCACTGGGGACGCAGCAATAACAGACAGGGTCTCCGCATGGGGAGAGTCCATCAGTAAACAGATAGATGTCATTTAATGTCAAGCAGTAACAAGGGCTGTGAAGAAAAAGAAAGCATAGTGTGGAGGAAGGGCGGCAGAGGTTGGTGGGTGGTCCGGGGAGCTTTCTCTGAGAAGATGCCATCTGAGATGAGACCTGAGTAAAGAGCCAGAGCAAGCCCTGGGTACTCGGGGAACTGCATGCCACGCAGAGGGAACAGCAGGTGGCCTGAGGATGCACACGCTTGCTGAGTGAGGAGGATCCCCACACCAGCTTGGCTGCAGCGGGGAGGGGAGGGACGACCTCAGTGCAGGGCTGAGTGACTGATGGGTGAAGTGTGACAGGAACCAGTCTGGTCTGGGGCCTCAGGAAAGGCCGCCAGGGCAGGAGGGGTGGGCTAGTTTCCGTCACCCCCTCACCAAGCATCCTCACATGAGGACAACTTGGCCACAGGTGCCTCCGGCTGCCCCTTCCCCATTCTGTCCCCAGGCTTGCCTTCTCCATCCTGGCCTCCTTCCCAGGGCCGCCCAACCAGACTCTTCCCTTTCTTCCCCACAGCCGCCTCCCGAATGATCGCCAACAGCCTGAACCGCGACTCCCCACCCGGCACTCCCCCAAGGCGGCCAGACACCAGTACCTCCAAGATCTCAGTCACCGTGTCCAACAAGATAGCAGCCAAAAGTGCCAAGGCCGCCGGTGAGGGGACTCGGGCAGGTGGCGGGAGGAGCCGGAGGTGAATGTGGGTTGCCAGACGATATTTGGGGGTGTGTTCCCAACGTTGCAAGATGCTTTGAGGGCAACAAGGTGTCCAGAGTGTTCGGACTTGGTCAGGTCACTGCGCTTCTGTGGGCCTCACTGTCCACGTCTGTAGAAGGGGGCTGGTGACAACCTCCCCAGAGGACGGTGGAGGCACTTAAGGTGGTGTATTTAAGCACGGGGGCACTGCGGTTCTCACTCAGTGGTTGGTTCAGTCTTTTTTATTTTGTTTTATTGTGGTAAGAACACTTAACATGAGGTCTACCCTCTTAATGAAGTTTTACGTGTACAATACAGTATTGTTGACTATGGGTGGTTCAGTCTTTTTTAACAGATGTTCACTGAGCCCCGCACTGGTGCCCGGCCCTGTGCTTGATGCCTGGGGTCAAAGGTAAAGAAGCTACTGTGTTTCCTCTCAGCAGCCAGAGGGATGCTTCAAAACCTTCAGTCTGGTCCTTTCACACCCTTATTTAGAACTCTCCAGGGCTTCCCATTGTTCCAGAAATGAAGTCCACTCTCCCCGCACGGCCTTACAGGGCCCTGCGTGATGTGGATTCCTGTCGTATGTCTTCCTCGTGCTCGCTGGCTCAGATCCCCTCCAGGCTCCTTCCGGTCATGGGGCATTTCCCCTCTGTGTTCCCTGCTCTTGGAACACTCCTCTTCCGCAGACTTCCATGCTGGGCCTCGGTTCCTTTTCCCAGTCTCAGCTTAAAAGCTGTGAAAGGTTCTCTGGCCTTTGGGCTTCCAAGCCCTCTCTCTGTCCACCATGCTGTCCTCCCTTTGTTGGACTCATCCCTGCAACAGTGATCTTGGCACAAGTGGAAACTGGCCCAGGGAGGTGCTTCATTATTCTCACACCCAGCCCTATCGCACCCTGTCCTGCTCCATTGCACACACTCCTTTTGCCGTGTGTGTTTGGAAGTGCCACACCCCCGCCCGCCTTTGGATTAGTGTGCCATGAGCAAGAAAGTTCAAATTAATTTCTAAAGTGTTAAAGAAATAGTGAGCCTGGGAGAGACTGGCGCTCTTACCCCTTGACACATTTGAGGGGGTTCTTTTTTTAAAAATGGAAATATGGTTTGGTTATGCACAGATTTTAAGTGTGCAGCTTGAGTGATTTTTAAGAAGTGAGCACACCTGTGAAACCACTACCTAGATGGCGCTCTAGAGCCTCTCCCCCACCCGGCCTCTGAGGACACTCTGGCTGGGCTGGGAGGGGAGCCACAGAGAACCTGGGAGGCCCACCCCAGCCTGGGAATTCTGAGTGCCTCTGTGCCCTATCTCGCCTAGACCTCTGAGTTTCTTGGTGGTTCAGAGTCAGTGGTGACGGGGGTGGTTGAGAAGACAGGGGATTCCAGTCATGCAAACGCATGAAGATAAAGGGCACATGTGTGCCCTTTGCAGGGCGTCCAGCCCCCACCCCAGCAGAACATTCCATCCCAGAAGGTACTCACCGCCACCCCCTCCCCCAGCAGCCCTGGCCCGCCGGGAGGAGGAGAGCCTGGCTGTTCCCACCAAGCGGCGCCGGGTGACTGCCGAGATGGAGGGGAAGTACATCATCAACATGCCCAAAGGCACCACCCCGCGGACCCGCAAGATCCTGGAGCAGCAGCAGCAGGCGGCGAAAGGTACCAGTCTGCAGTGCGCACTGTGGCACAGAGACCGCGATTCCCTTTTGCTGCATCCTGCAGGGTTGGTCCTACAGGCCTTGGCTGGGAAGCAGGCTCTACCGGGATCCAGGGCTCTTGGACCAAGGGGATAGCAGTGGTGGCTGTAGAGGGGGGCACATCACCACCTCTGCCCTCTTGTGCTGCAGTTAGCGTAGCTGCTGCCTCTTTTCCGAGGGGCAGGGACACGGATTCGATGATGGCCAGCCTCTGAAGTGAGTGACTGTGCCTGGCTGAGGGCAGGTGCCCCAAAAAGTGGGAACCGTCATTCTGAGCCAGAAGGATCTGGTTGAGATTCAATGCATAGCTGGGGTTTGTATCTGGTAGTGTGGAGATGGTCTTCCTTACAGTATTCCTTTTAGAATATTGTATATGTTCTCACGGAAGAACATTCAGATATGATGCAGAGCATATACAGTAAAAACAAACTCTGTCCCCTTACTCCCATATCCCACGCCTGTTGTTAACCTTTCCAGACCAGCATCCATGAACTTACATGCAATTGTACATACGTATCCACATGTATAGGTGTTTTTCTTTTTAAACACGAATAGCATCATCCTGTAGGTATTGTTCTAGAACTTTTTTTATTGCGATCTCTTCACATTAGTGCATGTACAGCTGCTGCTCATTAGTGATCGTTTTGTGTTCCCATAGTATTAGTAAACCATCATTTAGTAAGCATTCTCCCATTGGTGGCTATTCAGGTGGTTCTTTAGGGAGAGGACTCATTACCATTCATCAGGTTCTCTCTGAGGCCCGTGACCCCAAAAAGAGTGAAAGGAATGAGTAGGGATTAAGAACTCTTCCTGCACACACGCTTCATGAAGTTGTACCCACGGTGCAAAGAGCACGTGTCAATTTGAGTTGATCCGTCCCACGTTTAGCACTAGCCCGAGGGTGTGGGGTAAGGTCAACGTTAGCCAACGGTGTAGACGTCAAACCTAATGGGGCCCGGTCTGTGCCTGCCTGAATGAGGGCTGCCAGGGGTCCCCACCCTTGTTGTCACAGAGCTGGCCAGGCCGGGCCCCCAGGGGCCCTCAGCAGGGCTGGCTGATGGCTGCACTTCCCTCTTAGGTCTCCACAGGACGTCCGTGTTTGACCGCCTCGGTGCCGAGACCAAGGCTGACACAACGACGGGGAATAAAGTGAGTTGGAAATGGGGGACATCTTGGGGCTCTCAGTTCTTGTCTCCCCTGGGTGTTGTTCCAGATGCTTCCCACATCTCACCCCTCGCATGCCCCTTTCCAGCCTCAGTTCCCTTCTTTGCACTGGCAGCTTCCCTGTCTTCCTGCTGCCCACACCTCTCCCGATTTCCAGCCCCAGGAGTCTGGCCAACTCCTGGACACCGCCCTTAGAGACCCCTTCCACCCCATGTCCCAAAACCGGCCTCAGCATCTTCCCCCAAGGCGACTCCCCTCCTGGCCCCGTCTCAGGGGTGCCCCACCGCCTCCATTCCAGCAGTCATGAGTCTGATGGTGCCATCTGTCTCTACCCACTCTGCCACCACCTCTGTCTGGATAGGGCGGTGGCCTCCTGACTGGTCTCTGTGCAGCTGCCTCAGCCCCTCTCCCACAGCGGCAGCGTGTGCAGCCACAAGACAGCCCCCCTCCCCCGCCCCGGAGGCCCTTAAAGGGCTTTTCCCTGGGCTCATGATGAAGCCCACCCTTCTTGCTGTGGCCTGCAGTCCTGCAGGCCCAGGCACGGTGTGCAGTTGGGAGCACACAGCCTGAGCCCGCTGCCCCGTGTGAATCCAGCTCTGCCACCACCTGGCTGCGTGACCTTGGCCACGTCACTTAAGCCTTTTGTACCTCAGTTTCCTCGTCTGTATAGTACCCACCTCATAGGTGGTCGTGAGGATTAAGTGAGATAGACTCGCACCGTGCTGGGGAGCCTGGTGCGTGGTAAGCACTCGTTCAGTGTCCCCTTTGATTACTGTGGCTGAGCTCCCCAGCTGCGTTTCCCACCTCTCAGTCCCTTGCTCACCAGGGCTCACCTGCTCTGGCCTTTTCTCCCTTCCTAGAATCTTATCGTGAGCATGATGATGACACTCAGGATCATGCAGCTTGAAGATGCAGCCATATAAAGAGCTTGGCACATAGCGAGTGCTCCATAAATATGACTGTTATCCCTCCCTTGGGGACTTAGCCCGCGCTCTGTTCTCTGCCGGTTCATCCTGAGGCCCTGGCTTGAACATTGGTGCCTCAGAGAAAGCCCTGAACTCCGGCTTCCCTGGCCCCTGCTCCAGTTCTCCCTTCTCTTCCGGAGAATGTGTTGCTCTCGTAATTAGAGAAGTATGTGTGTCATTTCCGGTGCCAGCTCTGTCTTCCTCACTGGACTGTGAGGGCAGGGCTGGGGCAGTCTTGGTCACCACTGTGTCCCCAGCACTGCCCAGCACAGGGCCAGGTGCAGAGCCGGGACTCAGAAAATATCTGTTGAGTGAGTGACCAAATTCATCTTTTCTCTCACGTTCAGCTGTAGACCTTTGCAAATGGTCTTCCCTCTGCGTGGCTCCCCCTCCCTCTCCACCTCTTTGTCTGACCCGCTTCTGGTCAGCTTTCGGGTCTCGTCTCAGACAGCCCTTCTCCGGGGAGCCTTCCCTGAACTGCAGGCGAGGTCAGGAGCTTCCCCTGGGCTCCCCAGGCCCCTGGACTTCCCCTGCCGTGGCTCCCACCACTATCTGGGGTGTCACCGATGCGTGTTGCTCCCAACTGTGAGCTCCATGAGGCCAGGCACAGGTGAGAGCTCTCCGTGAACGCGTGTTGAGCGACTAAATGACTCACTTGTCCCATCTCTGACCTCCACAGCCCACAGGAGTCTTCAGCCGTCTGGGGGCCACCCCAGAGATGGACGAGGATCTGGCTTGGGATAGCGACAATGACAGCAGCAGCTCTGTCCTGCAGTATGCTGGGGTCCTGAAGAAGCTTGGCCGGGGCCCAGCCAAGGCCAGTCCCCAGCCGGCGCTGACTGTCAAGGCCAAGGCCACGAGCTCAGCGACGACGGCCGCCGCCCCGACGCTGCGGCGCCTGGCCCTCTCCTCACGCCCCGGGCTCGAGAGGAAGCCGGAGTCCCTGTCCAAAGTCAGCATTATCCAGAGACTGGGCAAGTCTGCCCTTGTGCCCGAGGCCCAGGACAGCCAGGTCACGAGCACCAAGAGTAAGTCCTCGGCCGAGGTCAAGGTCACCATTAAGAGGACCCTGGTGGGGCCCCGGGGGAGCAGCTCCAGCGAGGGCCTTGGTGCCCAGATGGACCATGCGGGCACTGTGAGCGTGTTCAAAAGACTGGGCCGCAGGACCTAGCCCTGGGCCGGGCGCAGGCCCCTCTCCAGGCACAGGCTTCAGCAAGGGCGCCCGCCCCTCTGCCGGCTTCTGGTCGACACTGCTTGTCTCCCTCAGGCGTTCGAGCCGGGCCGAGCTCTCCGGGGATTCACCCCATTCTTCTCAGTGCGAGATGGTCGTTGTGGCCTGGCCTTGCCGCTCTGGGGCTCTCCCTGCTCTCATGTCCTAGTTCTGTCCTCTCTGACTGCGGCCTTGGTGGGACCCCCTCGCCACCTCTCCCAAGTGCCCAGTGCCCTTTTCCTCTCCTGACCCCTTCCTCCCTCTCAGCAGCAGCTGCTGCCTCAACCCCAGCTCCTCGCCTCCCAGTTCCCTAGAGTGGGTGTCCCCTGGAGGGGCCCCCGTACCCCCCCCCGCCAACTCCCATCCCTCTGCCTACTCCTCTGCCCCCCCCCCACTGCTTTAACTTCTGTCTCCCCCTCTCTTCTCTCTGTTCATTTCTCTTCTGTTTTCTGTCCCCGTGGCAAGGCCCGACTGTCCGCTGCGTCCTGCCTGACACTCCTGCACCGCCGGCCTCCCTGCGGCCCCCTCGTCGACGGTGGCGTCGAGCCTGTTGAGACTGTTAGCCGCCCTCACTCCCAGGCTGGAGGGACCTCCCCACGCCCTGGGCTGCAGCTCGGGCACCTCCATTTTCCTGCCCTGGGCATCTTTTTCTCTGAAAGTCCATGGCAGGTGGCGGGCAAGGGGCACTGGGAAGGGAGGCCAGTGCTGAAAGAGAAGAAAACGGCTGTTTTAATATATTTTTGTGACTTTCCAACTGTTTCCCTCCCCTCCTTCAGGGTGAGTCCCAGGCTTGTTTCTCACACCAAGCACAATGTGGGTGGGGGCCCGTGAAGGTCGGTTCCTCTCTGAAGGTCCAGCTCCTGCACACACGTGGGCCGTGCCTTTGCTGCAGGCCCCAAGAGGAAGGGCTAATGGTCACGGTCACCCTTCAGTCAGCCCTCCTCCTGCCCTCAGCAAACTGTGGTGGTTCTGTCACTGCCCTCCCCCTCCACGGATTTCACCTGTTTCTGCCACTCTGCTTGGCGGCGGCTTTCCAAACTGCAGGCTCCCTGTGAGGCAGTGGCTTCCCATGGGTTTGATTGGTCACCTCGTCACCGCCGCACAGCCTCTACCCTGGGCCTGGCCTGTTCTAGGAGCTGGGGCTCCATCCGTGAGTGGGGCGGACGATCCCCTGCCCGAGGGCGGTACAGTGATCACACTGTGCAGAGAATTGGAGGGCTGGGTAGAAGTGACCAGGGCCTCTTTAGATGTTGGGGGTAGGAAGGCCTTTCAGAGGAGGTGACATGTAGGCTGAGCTGGGAATCAGAAGCAGCGACTCCGGGAAGTTCAGAAGGCAAGGAGCAGGCAGAGGAAACAGCTGGGCACAGGCCCCGAGGGGGCACAAGGACCACGGAGGGAGGCCAGGGTGGCTGGTGAGCAAGGGAGGGGCCTGCCATCCAGCACAGGTGGAGACGGGTAGGCAGGAACCAGATGACCTGGGGCTTCGTGACCCGGGGTGAGGAATTTGGACACCATCCCGGGAGCGTTGAGGAGTTGGGGAGGGTTGAAGCAGGCAAGTGATGATCTGAGTTGCCTTTTATGAAGATCGCTTTGGCCGCTGTGAGGAGGGTGAATTGTTGGGAGGGCAGGGGGGTGGGGGAAGCAGGGAGGCAGCCGCTGCAGTAGCCTGGGCAGGACAGGAAAGTGGCGTGGAGTGAGGTGGTGGCGGAGGGGAGGGGAGAAGTGGGTGGGCCTGGGTGTGCTTCGGAGGAGGAGGAGGAGCAGACCACGCTGATGGATTGGAAGTGGGGGCGAGGGGAGGGTGGGAATCGCGGATTACGCCTGGGTGGGAGACTTGAACATCTAGAGGAAGGTGCTGTTTGTGGGAACAGGGAGGCTGCGGAGGGAGGAGCGAGCAGGGGCAGGAGGGTGGCCGTGTTGACTGAGAGGTGAACAGGCTCCTGGGGCTCAGGGGGCCACCTGGGCTGGAGGTCAGCAACTTCGGGGAGTGCTCAGGGTACAGCTGTGTTCAAAGCCAAGGGCCTGGCGATACCCACTGGAAAGGAGCAGAGAGAGGAGATGACCCGGAAGGGAATTGGGGGCCCTTTTCCCATTTGGAGACCAGGATCTGATGAGATTACCAAGGAGTGGTTGGGGCGTTTGGAGGAAGACTAAGAGCAGGTGAAGATGAGATTAGACCTCATCGTTTTTTGTTGTTGTTGTTATGGTAGAATATACATAACATAAAACTTACCATTTTAACCATTTTTAAACGTATGTTCAGTGGCAGTAAGTACATTCGCACTGTTGTATAACCATCACCACCATCCATCTCCAGACCTGTTTTCGTCTTCCCAAAGCGATCATTTATTTTAGTTTTTCAGTAATGTCATATTGGGAGGCTCCTATGTGTCAGGCAGTGTCCCAAGCCCTGGGCCTGGGGTGTGAGAGGTGGACTTCAGTATGAGGGACAGTGTAGAGAGAGCAGCCCCTCTCCTGGTGAGGGCCCAGGCTAGACCCTCGTGGGAATGGTTCAGGTTGGACCTCAGAAGGACAGCAAATAATGGCAATGTCAAGATGGCAGAGGCCGCCCCTTCATGTCAGTGCCACAAGGAGGCGCTCACGCACACACATGCACTTTCCTTGCTGGTCTTCAACTCTTCTTTTTTCCCCCCTAATTTCCTCTGGTTCCGCTTCATGGATAATTTTAGCAAGTGCCAGGATTAATTGGAAGAGTTCCAGCTACTAAATTTAAGAGCACGGGGTGATTTCTTGTTGTGTAATAGGAACTACAAAGATATAAAAACATGTATTGCTCACTTACCATGAAAGGCTTAGCTGCATGAGGTAAGTCAACACTCTTGCTCTTTACGGAGGCTCAGAAGGGAGTAAACCGCTGAAGGCCTCACCTGCTGGCAAGGGGCAGGACTGGGTTTGATGTCAGGGAGCTCACCAGGATCCTGGTCCCTTAGCCCCTACCCTGTGCTGCCCCAATTGCAGATTTGAAACAGGGCCCTTTTGGAAAGGGGAGGGCGGGATCCTAGGACAGTGGTTTTGGATTTTCTAGAGTTGTCTGTGTGTCCATGTTCCCCCCGCTCCCGTCAGCTTGCCCTAGGAAACGTTTGCAGCTCTGAGATGCGGTGGGCCTTGAGAGTCCTGTCCCATCCTGCCACCATCTCCCAGACGGACGGGAGCCGGACACCTCCTCTGCCTCCCGGCCGCTCCAGGACCCCAGTGTCCCACCCACTGGATTTGGTGATTCCCCCAAACCAACCCCAACAGCCGTGACCCACAGGGATGCATTATTTTTTCTCTGGTTCTGTTAAACACTTTTGATGTTTATACACAAATAATACGCACACGGTTCAAAATGCAAAAGATACAAAAGACTTCACAGTGAAAACTCTGCCCGAGTCTCCTAGCTCCCCAGGCCCCTCCTCAGAGGCCACCAGTGTTACCAGAGTCTTGAGTAATCTAATCCTTCCAGACATGCACACGCACACACACATACTTGCAAGCAGAGGAATGTATAGTACGCACACACAAGCGCACACACCTATTAACCTCATTTGCTTACCCAGCCCTTTTTGGAAGGGGATTTGGGTTGTTTCCCATCTCTTGCTGTTACAAGCAGTGCTGCCGTGGGTAACCTCATTCACATGTGGGGTCAATTCAGGGCTGAACTGGAAGAATTCCAGTTCTATCACTTCAGTGCAAATGCTGATATTGGGTCAATAGCACATCTGAACCAGGCTCTCCCCTGAGATCGTTGGCATTCCTCAGGTGACTTATTTATACATTCATCACCCCCTTCTGAAAAAGAAATAAGAGCAGTGGGACTCCTCTTATTAGAGACCGCTGGAGGAAGCGGATCAGGGGATGTGAAGAGCTCACACCACCACCTGTATGCCAGGAGGTACTAAATACGGGCTTTGCTAAGTTGAGGGACTTGTCGAATCCTCAGGGTGAGGGCAACACCATGAGTCGGGGACTTCCTATTCTCGTCCCACAAGCAGATGTGGGAGTGGAGGTGCAGCGAGCCCAGGGCTGATGCTAAATCAGAGCCAGGGCTGAGCCGGCCCAGCTGGATGGTTCTGTTGGGGTGGTGGTCTTGGGACGAGGTCACCTTGGGACATGTCACCTCCTCTGATAGCTCACACCAGTGGGTGCAAAGGCAAGATGGGATGGGGACTGGCAGCACCCCTCCAGGCCAGCCCCACCGCCCCTTCCTCCAGTGGCTGAGACTGGTGCCAGGAGCTGGGCTGCAGCGACCTTGACCCTCTTTTCGCTCCTTTGGGGGCCTGGGCTGACTTGGGTTGGTGAGCGCTGCTCCTAGAGACCTGCCTTTGAAGGCCTGACGTTCACCTACACTGAATTTCACCTGCCTTGTGAACTCCAAACCAGGTCTTCACAAACTTCATCAAACAGGCAATGCCTCCTCTTCCCCCCCACCGCCCCCCAGTAACAGACTTTATTTTTTAGAAGTTTTAGATTTGCAGAAAAATTGAGAAGTACATTCAGTACAGAGTTCCCATATACCCCATACCCAGTTTTCCCTGTTAACACCTTACATTAGTATGATACATTTGTTACAATTAATGAGCCAATATTGATACATTAGTATTAACTAAAGTCCATAGTTATTCAGAGTTTCTCAGTTTTTTCCTTAGTTTTAATATTTTTTCTGTTCCAGGATTCTGTATCACATTTATGTTGTCGAACATTTATGTTGACAGGTAAGGAGTTGTCATGTCTCCTTAGCCTCCTCTTGGCTGTGACAGTTTCTCAGACTTGTTTTTGAGACCTTGACAGTTTTGAAGGACACTGTTGGGTATATTATAGGATGTCCCTCAGCTGGGGTTTGTCTGATGTTTCTATCCTGATTAGACTGGGGTTAAGTGTTTTTCAGAGGAAAAGCTCTGAGGTAAAGTGCCATTTTATCACATCATATCTAGGGTACCTCCCCTCAACCTGATTTATCACTGTTTCTGTCACCCTTGATCACCTGGCTTGATTACCTACTATTTGTCGGATTTCTCCACTGTAAAGTTACTCTTCTCTCTCCCTTCCTCCATGTTGGACTCTTTGAACGGAAGTCATTCTGCGTAGCCCACACCTAAGGAGTGGTAGGGCTTATGCTCCATCTCCTTGCGGGCCAAGAACTGACAGACGTTATTTGGAATTCTTTTGCAAGGGAGATTTGTCTTTTCTCCCTGTTTATTAACTTATTCAGTCATTTGTTTTTATCAGTGTGGACTCATGGATATTTATTTTATACTTTGGGTTATAATCAATACTACTTTATTTTGTCGCTCACATTATTCCAGCTTTGGCCATGGGGAGCTCTTTCGGTTGGTTCCTGTGTCCTGT